GTGGTCCCAGAGCCTGTCACGTCTCTGATGACCCCACAGAAAACGGCCTACAAGAGGACCAACAGCACAAGGGCGGGATCTCTGCTTCTGAGATGCAGCTCCGGCTGGCTATTACGCTCTCAGTCCCAAATGCACCTTTCAACTCTGCGATGCTGGGGGCTGGGGCTTGGCACCCTGTCGCACCTCTGTCAGCTGTTTCCTGTTGGCTTCTGCTGATAGAAGGCACTAGAAGGCGGACCTCACTGGTGGTCTTGTGGCTAGGCCTTCATGCTCCCAATGCAGAGGGTGTGGGTTCAATCCCTGGTTGAGGAACTAGACCCCACATGCTGCAACTAAAAACCTGGCATAGCCAAATACATACCTACATATATAAACATTTTAAATAGTCAAAAAAGAAGGCACTAGAGGGAAACGGGAAGACAGAAGAAGAGATGGCACATGTTCTTCCCCATTAATCAGCTGTTCCTCTCAGCACTGTCCCTAACAGCAAGGGGTTTCAGACTCCGGCTGCTCTGGGCATTCCCAGAACCAGGTCCATCACGTCCCTTCTTCCCCATCCCAAGCATGAGTCACAGCCAGGCAGCATCCCTTTGCTCACTCTCAGTTACTTGAGCCCTTCGTTCCAGCTTCTGGTATCTGATAACCTCAACCTCTGCCCTGACCCCTCTCTTCCCCACTCAGCCTCCGGGTGTAACTGCTCTCTACAACCCATATCTATGGATTCCATCTTCGTTCGTTCAGCCATCTAGCACTTGTGTACCCTGCACATTAAATTTCCCTTGGTGTGACACCTAGTGGTTTTGTGTGTTGTGCTGTAGGCTGGATCTGAGTTAAGCACAAGAACTTAAAGTTGGGAGGAAATTAATTCGTTGTTCGTACTGCAGCAAAAATGTAGCATGCACTTGTATGTACTAAGCATTTTTTAAGGGCTTTAGCATATATAATCCTTCTAATGCCCACAGCAATTCAATCAAGTGGCTATTATTATCCTCATATTAAAAAAGGAAGAAAATGAGACTGCAAGAATTTTAAAAAATCACTTCAGACATCATATAACTAGTAAGTAGTGGAGCTGGGATATAATTCTAAGTCTGACTCTAAAAGCCTTCTGCAAAAAACTGAGGCTTTTCAAGAAACTCCACGCTGCTCCTTCCAGACTGTTTACAAGGTTCACAAATAATTTAGTGCAGGTGTATGATTGCTTTTTTGTTATCCTCATAAGTCTCATTCCTTAACAGTCCCCTTCCCTTTGAACATGCCATCGCTTGATGAGTAAATAATGTCATCTGTCCTGTGCCATGTCCCATATACTGGAGTTGGCTATTATGTTTCTTCATGGTATCATTTCACCTGTGCCTCTTCCTTCCACACTTTTTATAAACTCAAAAGTCAGATTGAAATTGAATCCCACTTAAACCTTTATTTTTTTAATAAGAGTATTTCATCTGTGTTGCTATATACTTCCTATTGTGTCAAATCAGGAAGTATGCAATGTCTGGTCATTCCATATAGTGATTCTAAGATTAATTAGTGGAGTCAAAGTCTAACTTCTCCATTGTAGAGGGAGTCCAAACCTGTCAGTGCAAAACCGTCACCTATAAGGCTTTGGCATCAGACAACTGCCACACTCAATGTGTTCAAATCAAATGTTACACAAAGTGACTCCTCAGAATAATGGAAATAAAAATGAAAAGAAACAAATGGGACCTACTTAAACTCAAGAACTTTGCACAACAAAGGAAACAATAAACAAAATGAAAAGACAACACACAGATTCGGAGACAACATTTGCAAATGATGTGAGCAACAAGGGATTAGTCCCCAAAATTTATGAACAGTTCATGATGCCTCAGAGCATCAAAAAACCCAATAAACAAATGGGCAGAAGACCTAAATAGACACCTCTCCAGAGAAGATACAGAGATGACCAAAAGGCACATGAAAAGATGTCCGACATCACTAATTATTAGAGAAATGCACATCAAAACTACAATGAGATACCACCTCACACCAGTCAGAATGGCCATCATCAAAAAACCCACCAACAATGCCGCAGAGGGTGCGGAGAGAAGGGAACCCCCCTACACAGCGGGTGGGAATGTAACTAGATATAGCCACCTTGAAGAACAGTACAGAGGTTCCTTAGAAAACTAAAGACAGAGCTATCATATGACCCTGCACTCTCACTCCTACACAGATGTCCAGAGAAAAACATGATCCAAAAGAATATATGCACCCCAATGTTCACTGCAGCCTGTTTACTGTAGCCAAGACATGGAAGCAACCTAAATGTCCATCAACAGAGGAAGGGACAAAGATACGGTACATATACATATGGAATGTTACTCAGCCGTTAAAAAGAATGAAATAATGTCACTTACAGCAACACAGATGGACCTACAGATTGTCATACTGAGTGAAGTCAGAGAAGGAGAATTATCGTATGACATCCCTTACATGTGGAATCTAAAGAGAAATGATACAAATGAAAGAGACTCAGACTTAGATACAGAAAGTGATTCAGACTTAAGAGAACGAACTTATAGAGGCTGGGGGCGGGGTGGGGGGATAATTATGGAGTTTGGGATGGACGTGTACACGCTGCTGTATTTAAAATGAGTAACCAGCAAGGACCTACAGTATAGCACAAGGAACTATGCTCAGCGTTAAGTGGCAGCCTGGACGGGAGGGGAGTTTTGGGGAGAATGGATATGTATATATATATGGCTGAGTTCCTTCGCTGTTCATCTGAAACTATCACAACATTGTTAATGGGCTATACCCCAATATAAAATAAAAAGTTTAAAAACAAAGACCCAAAAAAACCTGACTCCTCAAAAAGGAAATAACAAATGGTGCTCATTCAAGTCTTCAAGGAAAGCAAAAATCCCAACAGTTCATCCTACTCCTGACAAACCCTCAATAAATTTTGTTAATCAGTATTTCAAACCACCCTTTAAATTTCAAAGGGATCAAAGGTCAAGAGTTTCAAAGTCTAGTTCCATGCTTCTTTAAATTCTGTATCTGTTCTTACTTAGTTCTTTGAACTCTGTAGGCCCGTATTTGCCCAATTGAAAATAGAGATAATGTCTCCAACTTTACTTCACCTCAAAGGACTATGGGGAGGGTAAAATGAAATATAAAAGAAAAAAGTTAGATATGACAAATAAAGATTTATTATCATAGATTAAATTTTACCCAGAATAAGGAAGAATGCAATGACCTGAGAGCTTGAGAAGCCACCAAAGGTAGAATCAACAATGCTTGAGAATCCACTGCAATCCAAATTTGAAGCAACAGGATGGAGGAATTTTAAGCCAACAACCACTGCCTACAGATGATATGCTAGAACACTTGTAACTCACTTAAAAGTGGCTGCCACCACTTGACTTTCATCAAAAGCTATGTTACACCAGATACAGTTCCCAGATAGAAAATCACGTTTAACACTGCCCATGTTAAAATGAACAGATTAATGAATACAGACACACTACTATAAATAAACTAACAAGGACCTTCTGCATAGCACAGGGAATTATATTCAGTATCTTATAATAACCTATAGGGGCTTTCCTGGTGGCCCAGTAGTAAAGCATCCACCTGTCAATGAAGGTGTCACAGGTTTGATCCCTGGGTGGGGAATATAACCTGAAGGAAATGGTAATCCACTGCAGTATTCTTGCCTAGAAAATCCAATGGAGAGAGGAGCCTGGTAGGCTACAGTCCGTAGGGTCGCAAAGGGTTGGACACAACTCAGTAACTAAACAATAACAAAATAACCTATAATGGAAACTAATCTGAAAAAGAATATATATGTATATATAGGTGTGTGTGTGTGTATATAATATTGAATCACTTAGTTGTATACCAGAAACTAATGCAACATTGTAAATCAACAATACTTCACTTCAAAATAAATTAATAAAAATTGGGATTAAACCAGTAATCTTGATACCATAGCACTCAATTCAGGGACCCACCCTTCAAGATACTGAATTTCCTAAACAAACGTTAAACTAAAACAAGAAAATGGAAGCCACTGATTCTGTCTAAAAAATATACCTCTTATACATTGTGTAATTTGAAAAATGTTCAGGATAGACCAAAAAAATCAAGTCTTCCTGCAAAGATTAAATTCAGTAATACTGTTCTGAAAATACATGTGCTGCAAAATACTGTGAGTATAAGTGACCTGTTACCAACTGGGACCTTGGAAAATGAGACCTCAGGCCAGCTTCCCCCAACTCAAAGAAATCTTTTAACCATTCTGTGCATTTTGATGACAGTTATAGTTTAGTTTTCTAAAATGACATTTGAAGAGTCTCTAATGTTAAACACACAAACCTAGTTACTCCTGATTTTTATATTAAAAATACATAAAAGCTGAGCAGTTTTCCCTGCACTACCATCTCCAAAGTAGGTTTTAAGAATTTTCACATTCCATTATCTGAAAGAGTCAACAGACATTTTCTTTTATCTTTTCAACTACTGGGTTCTCAAATTCTCACCTTGACATCATCAACATAGTTTGGAAATTGCTGACACAGGCTATTCAACTGTGCCAAAAGATTTGGGTTTATATACAGTTACCACAGTGCCACCATCTGAGCAAAAGAAAGCACAGTAACATTTTAAAATAAAGAATAGCAGTATTTATCTTTTTAAAAAAGACTGCCAAACAGAGAACTTCATATTTAAATACAATTAGCAAAACTCATCAGAAAGATCTCAAACAAGATTCTGTGGGATGTGACCGAATGAGGAAATTTGCCCAGTTACACCAGAACCTATTTCAATTTCTTAAAGTATCTCAAAGAGCAGATTGTTTTCAAAGAAGTAATATATTGTTACAAAGAAAAGCCCAATGCAAGACAAAGACCATAATAGAGAAGGATTGTGTTCAAGCACATCCAAGAGGTGGAAAGAGGAGGAAAATCTTCGGAAAAACTACCAACAGGCTTAGATACTAATATCTTAGTTTTAAACATAGAAGTTCTTACCTCCCACTGTAAATGAGGCGGGATATTTCGTATCTGAAGTTTCCGAATCCTGCAGAAGAATTAAAATGTTTTTTAAAAGAAAACAAAAAAAAAAAACATAAAAGCAAAAGATACTTATAGCCAACATGGATGTTTTGAAACTACCTAAGATATATTTATTCACTACATATCCATACATACTAAGAAAACACAGCCCAAGAAAGATAAAGGAGACCAAGTTAATCACAAGATGCACACTGAGGTTTCACAAGACCACTGGAAACCGAGCATCACTGGATGGTTGTGGCTTACTCTAAAAGCCACTAAAACTGGCAGATACAATGTCTGAACACATTTCATCTAATGACTGTATGCTAAGTTCAAACCCTTTAGCCTCAAAGTAAGCGTCCCAGAACACAAACAAAACCTTAGTCCAGATGTTCTTAATCTGAGATCACAGCCAAAGGGTTCATGGACAGAATTTAAGGAAGGTGGACAGGAGCGGTGGGGTGCAGTGATGTGCGGGGGTCACATTTATTTTCACTATCCCCTAAGTGACATTTAGCCACCTTCAATAGTGAATGTTGGCCTTAAACCACAGTAGAATTACATGTCTTGTACTCTTGACATTAATATAAATAAGTCAGGCATTTTCATTTCACATTAAGGTTTTGCAGATCTTGTATATTCACTACTGTGATAGTTAGCTGTGTTGCTAGAACTTGTTACTTCTTATGTTAAGAAAGACATGTTATTATCAGCTTTAACATTTTCTAACTGTATTTCAAAATAATTTCCTTTATAATCCTATGTGCTTTATTTTATGCATTTAAAAATATTCTCAGAGGTCCACACATTTCAGGCTTCCAAAGGAATAATCCAGGGTACAAAAAAAAAACAAAACAAAACATTAAAAATCCCCCACCTGAGTTTCAATGCCTACCCATATTCCTATGTATACACTATGTATATAAAACACAATATATATCTTTGTAAAATAATAAAAACTGTTATACTATACATCTCCTCCTCTTCTATCCCCTCCTCAAAACTATCAGAGTAAGAGAGGGAGGATGGAAAGAAGGAAGCAACACGAATTATGTGAGACTGTACTATGGATACCACACACCAATCACTCTCTTACAAGGGAAAGGAATTTAAAGTCAACTAGCTGTTTTTTAAAAACAGACTAGCGAGTGGGCATGACCTCTCAAGTGAAATAATTAACCTCCTCTAGACCTACAGTTAATTTCCCTTTCCAGGTCCAATGATCCACTTCTAGGTACCACAGCGCAGACTCCATTGATGGTCTGGTTCTTTCCCATTCACCACAAAACTTACATGAATCTCAGACACTGCCTATCCCTTCGCTGCTGTTGTTCACTCGCTAAGTTGAGTCCTAGAGACCTCATGGACTGTGGCCCGCCTCCTAGCGACCTCATGGACTGTGGCCCGCCTTTAGGGAACTCTCAATTAGCATGTAAATTAGCCAAACTCAGGTATGTCCTGTTTGTAATCATAAAATAGAGGATGAAGGAAAAATCACTTTTACATTATTTTTATTAGACAGTAAAACAAAGCATAATCACCAAGGGCAAAGTATCAGAGATAGTGAGAGAATGTCAATTTAAGAAAACATTTTCAAACACCATGTAGTCTTAGATTTTACACATCCTATCCTGGAATTTGTTTACAAGATAAATCATGTGGTAATAATTGTTAAAGCTGCTAGAAGCATACTATATCTCTGCCTTTGTATAAGTTTTACATTCTTCTATAAAAACCTTAAAAAAATACACCCTAATAAAAGTATTCCTAAAACATAGATTTCAACTCTTCCATGTACTGCTTTAGCAAGCAGAAAAGTTACTCACACTGTGCAAATATTTACTCTGTGTAACTAAGAAGTAAGAATTATTTACTACACATTTGCAAGTACTAATCTGTCTTAAGCAACTGACACATTAAGAAATAACAACACAATGTTAAGAAACGCAGTATTCAACTCCATTGGACTGTTTTTGGGTATATATATATTACTAAAGAAATTTCCCCAATGCACACACAAAAGTGTACATACAGTTAAGGTCACCAAGCAGGTAATTCTTCTTTATTACAACAACAAATACCTACTTCACAGGGCTCCCAATAGTTTCTTTAAATAGGACACCAATTTTTGTACATTAGAAGTAATCCATTAGCCATGTTTTCCCCACATATTCTTCAAAATGTACATCTGACACCTATTTACTTATTAGAAGTTACACCAGAATAATTAATTCCCTTAACTGACTGTCCAGTTTCCATTATCTGATTCTCTGAAGTTTCACTTTAGACAAACACCAGGATTATTTTCAAAAAGTGAGTATTTTGACGGGCTTCCCTGGTGGCTCAGAGATAAAGAATCCACATGCAATGCAGGAGATTCATGTTCGATCGCAGGGTCGGGAAGATCCCCTAGAGGAGGACATGGCAACCCACTCCAGTATGACTGCCTAGAGAATCCCATGGACAGAGGAGGCTGGTGGGCTGCAGTCCATGGGATCTCGAAGAGTTGAACACGACTGAAGCGACCAAGAACAGCACAGTATTTTGACATCCAGAGCTGTGTTTTCCCACTTTGTTTTCTCAGCTCCCATCTCCCATCTGAGCTTTTAGAATTAGGTTATATTTACATTAAATTCTAAATACCTAAGAGTCAAGAGAACAGATACTGGTATTTGTTTCTCCTGTGTAATCACCGAATCATTAGAGTTTAATTTTAACTCCCAGCAAAATAAGTGGGCATTTCACCTCCTAAAACACACCCAAGTTATTATTACAAGGATCACACCCCACAGGGGCAGGAACTTGTTAGGCTGTCGCATTCAGAGCCTGGAACACTGTTTGGCAGCTGAGAAGCACTCAATTGACAGTTAAATTAACATTTGTTATAATACAGAGAGGGGGACGAAAACCCAAGACTCACAGATCCACCATGCAGAAACTACCAACATTCCCAATGGTTTTATTACAGCTGATGTAATAAAATGACGGTGGGATTACAGTGGGAAGACAGTGGGAATATAGAAAATTACTGTGAAGACCAACAGCCCCAGAAACAGGAGAATAAGAAGTTAATCACCTGTGCTATTTCAAAGAAAACTTTGAGGTTTTTGAGACCAGAAACAGGAGAAAAAGAAGTTAACCACCTGTGCTATTTTCAAAGAACACTTCCACACAACCTATTTATAAGTTAATCATATAGAATTTAAGACTTTTCTGCTAACAGGGAAAAATGAGGTAAAGTTTAAGTTCTCTTTTAACCTTTTTTTTTCTTTTTGGCCTGCCACTCACTCAACCTGTGGGATCCTAGTTTCCTGATCAGGCTCAAACCCACACCCCCTTCATTGGAAGTGTAGAGTCTTAACCACTGGATCACCATGGAATTCTTTCATGTAACCTTTAAAAAATGCTTATTATGCTTGAAATAGTTTCTATAAAATTCAGTACTCATTATTTATTAAAAGCTGATTTAAGTACCAGATAAAGAGCCAACAGAACTCATGTAGACTTCTAAGGGTATCTTCAAAATTTTTAGTAATAAATAGAACAGATTTAAATTGATTTTATACAAATTTTCATATTGACACCAAACTAGAGAAATTGTATCAACCTCCATAAGCCTGTATCAGTTTATCAAGTATGATTACCTACCTAATCTTATTTCTACTCAAATATGTACCAACAAATCCCACACACACCACCTGTCATGCTACAGTACATCTGGAAAAACCTACTAAAGGACTTTTTCACTTTAAAAGTAACTATCACCATAATAGTTTCTTAAAATGATTAACAAAAATTCCTTAAGAACAGAACGTTTTTGGTGTTCAGTCACTAAGTTGTGTCCGACTCTTTGCAACCTCATGGACTGTAGCACACCAGTCTCCTCAGTCTTCTACTATCTCCCTGGGTTTGCTCAAACTCACGTCCTCTGAGTCGGTGATGCTATCTAACCACCTCATCCTCTGTCACCGCCTTAGCCTCCTGCCCTCAATCTTTTCCAGCCTCAGGGTCTTTTCCAATGACTTGGCACTTCACATCAGGTGGCCAAAACATTGGAGCTTCAGCGTCAGTCCTTTCCTATTCAGGGTTGATTTCCTTTAGGATTGACTGGTTTGATCTCCCTGCAATCCAAGAGACTCTGAAGAGTCTTCTCCAGCACTACAATTCACAAGCATCAATATTTCAGCGCTCAGCCTTTTTTATGGACCAACTGTACACACTTCATCTCACATTGTATGACTGGAAAAACCAGAGGTTTGACTATAGACCTTTCTCGGCAAAGCGATGTCTCTGCTTTTTAATATGCTGCTTAAGTACAGAATACCCACTCTATTTCCAATTGCTTAATTGCTATTTTACAGCTGATCTGCTCATATCAAGATCCCAACAATATGCCCACATGTGTAGAGCAGATGTCTCTTAAGGTCTGTTTGACACAAGAAAATCCCTTCACTCCATTTTCTTGCTATTTATTTGAAGGTCAAGGTCATAAACTTTGTACAAGTACTCATTCTGGGTTTTATTCATTGCATTCTGAGTCATTTTAAATATTAATAATTGTTTGCTATGTTGAATTTGATATACACAGATGCATAACATCTTATATTGTTAATACAAAACATAGACATATATGAATCCACCCACCCAAATAATTAGAACAAGACAATTGAAACTACCATGCTCTTCCCCAATGCCTACCTCCCAGAATGTAACCATCACCCCCATATTATTTGTCACTCCCATGTCTTTTAAAATAGTATTTTTAGTAACTCTAGTTTGTCTTTAAGTTACTCTTTAAGTAGACAAATAGCAAGTAGAATATCAAGGAGAGATAAGAAAGCCTCTTTGCAACCCCATGGACTATACAGTCCATGGAATTCTCCAGGCCAGAATACTGGAGTGGGTAGCATTTCCCTTCTTCAGGGGATCTTCCTAATCCAGGGATCAACCCCAGGTCTCCTGCATTGCAGGGGGATTCTTTACCAGCTGAGCCACAAGGGAAACCCCCTGTTGTTTGACCTG